TTTATTTATTCAATTAATTCTAAAATTATGTGTTGATAAAGCATTTCTTTGCTAATAAGTTAGTTTATAATTTATTTAAGCTATATTTATACAAGAAAAGTATATTAGTGAAGCTTCTTAAATATACTACATAGTCACTTACCATCAATTATTAATAAAAACGGTAATTATCATATGAAATCTGCTATGTAAAAAGAATAAGGTAAAGTATTTATTCATTATCGTATTATCATATTAATATACTGAAAAGGACATTATCAGAAATCCGCAGAGATAGTGCTATGGCACATAACAATTTTGAAAGTAGTTATCACGGGTAGTGCTAGTAGAGATCTAACCAACCTTTTTTCATACAATTTTTACGTTTTTCACCTATGTAATAAAGAGAATAATTTTATTTAATACAACATAGTGAATTTAGCATTAGGGTTATACTGTAATTCTGTTAAAGCAGTTGTTGGAGATTTAGATCGTGACGATAACAGAGAGGTTTGAAGAATTTTAAGGTATGGGGTCTTTGCCTTGAAAATGACCTTACGGTACATGATACTGTAAGGTCATTTTCAAGGCAAAGACCCCATATGTTAATTAATTTTTAACATGTCATTGAATAAATATTTTATATATTATTTATGTTCTATAATATTATTTCTGTCTTAGAAATGATAACGATACTGCTACAATAAGCTAGATCAAGAGTTATCACTAGGCCACTATATCTTCATACGATATTGGGTTCATGTTTTATTAAGAATTATTTTGTAATAGCAAACACTTGTAAATATTAATTATAAAAGGATCGAAAATAGGTATGACATATTTCTAAATCATTTTCTGCTTTTTTAATCTCTTTGATACCGTTATTAAAATATTAGAATTATAACGAATAGCCAACTACAGTATCAAAGTATTTGGATAAGAAATTGATCTTGGATTGGGTAAGTTATCTAATGAAGCTGAAATTAATGATTCTAATGAAGTCCCATTAGTTCAGAAATTACCATATGGAATTTCGTCATGTTTTTGTAGAAATCGGTTTGTGTGAGTTTGGTGTTGTTATATCAGTTGCATGTATCGTGGATATTGGTGTTTGAACGTTCACAGTTGCTTATATAGAAGATAGAAGATAGGATGCATATTCCGGATTCAAGGTATGATCAAATAATATATCAAAATGTCAATGGTTGAATGTATGCTCTATAATCATTTATAGATATGCCTGTGCTATAGCATTACTGTAAAGGATCAAAGTTGAAAAGAACAAACAAAGACGTTCAAATATTATCAAAAAAATTGGGAAGAATTATAGACCACTTAATGTCAAATATTATCAAGAAGAAAATGGAATTGAAAAATCCATTGCTATAGGTAATGTTAGTGGAATATAAATAAGTCAAAAAAGATAAAGGTATGATTCGAATATTATCAAATTTATGAATTCTATGAATATG